CCAAAAAGCATGACATTGGTTTTGTCGCAGTTTACTAGCGAGCGATTCAAAGAAAACCATTCGCCAACGGCACTCAGGTCTTCTTGTAGAGTGGATTGAAGAGTTTGAATGTTTCTACCGGCAAAAAATGGAGCATCATCATCAGCATACAAGACTATTTTACAACGATGTACAGTACTAAGTAGATCATTTATAAATACGATAAATAATGATGGGCCCAGGACAGACCCTTGAGGTACTCCAAGCGATAGATCTGAGGTATCTGAATAAGTTATATTCACACTAACAGACTGTGATCTGCCAGATAGGTAATTATCAAACCAGGCAAGTGCTTGTCCTCTGACACCGAGTGCAGTAAGTTTAATGTTAAGGAGAGAATGGTCAATCATATCGAAAGTCTTGCTGAGATCTAAAAATATTGCTCCAGTAAGATTTCCTTCATCCATATTTTTCAAAATATATTCTGAAACATCAAGCAGGGCTGTACTGGTTGAATGACCACGTCTGAATCCTGATTGGAATTCCTGATTGGAATTTATCACGTGATGATAAAGCCACTCGAGATATCGTGAGAATGTGAGAAAAGCTTACAAATCACAAGCCGATTATCATGACTTCAACAAGTATTTTCGCCTGCGCTTAATTTTTCGAATCAGTTCTGAGCTGGATATGTTACCTCCCTACCATGTCATCTTTCTTTTTTTTCTTCTTCTCAGCTCTTATCTTGCGAGGCCGGACGGCTTTCAGCCGGCTCAGCCTGGGGTCCGTTTCTCGACGGGCCAGCAACGTATATACGTAACGGACCCGTAAAAAAGTTTTGTTTTCGATCAAGACGGGTGTTTCAAAACTTTTGAAAATAATATTATAAAACTAACAGCTAAAGGAAAAAATTGAACTGGTTAGGGTGCCAGGAAATACGTCTTTATTCTTTAAAATTCGATTTTAAAATACGGTTATAGTTTTGTTAAGTTACCGAGACTTTCGAGAAACGGGACCTTATTCACGCCATTACCGCCATCCAGTTGAGAGATTTTAGTTTAATGTTTCCAATCCTAGCAAAAGTGCGCGGGGACCATACGGGTCATCTTACAAAACAGTTATGCCTAGGAGACGCACTTAATATTTGCTTTTCATATCGAACTGAATTGTATCACCTGCTACTCATTAATTTCCCCTCATCTCTCCTCCCGATTGTTTTTTAAAATTCTTCTCAACTTTATGTCAACAGTGGTGGAATATTCAATTTTTAATCTGAGTGTTACTAAAACCCTGATGGTCAACTTTCAAATCACCTCCCTTTGAATGATCGTACGAGTGGTATGGTTTGTTATCTGAATGCCAAGCAATTTATACAGAAAGACAGGACGTGAGTTTTGTTAATTTTGATCTTTTTGATGTCGTCTTGTGGAAGTTTATCTTCGTTTATTGTCGTGAAGAACAACAATGGTAAAGGCCGTATTTTCGTTTTTGTCACAGTAGGGTCACTTCTACTGTCGTTCGCGAAGTTCCGAATGACTACACTGCGCCAGTTATCATCAGAAAAGAAATTAGGTAGATTGGCTAAGCTTTTAAACCCATGCTTGTCAGGGGAAATCGATCGTCACAAGCTAAAGACTAATAGTGTTGCGGTCGATCAGAAAATTGCGATGTACATCAGAAGACAGTACATCGTCACACACACGATTACCAATTTTATTTCATCGTCGAGAAACCCAAGTTTTCATAAGTTTCCACCAGAGTTTGGTTTTCGAAAGGTTAATGAAACGTATGAAAACGATCCGCCGTCTAAACCCTCAAAATGAGACTTAAAAATCTTACTTTCAAACTTTATTCAGGTAGTATTTACACAAAATGGTTAATCAAACATTATTTGTCATACGCTGTCGTTAGAAGAATTGCTCTAGAATAAATTATATATTTTTTTGAACGTTCGCTGCTATATGGAACTTATTATGTTCCTCTTTTGTCAAGGTGATTTCGGCCTCTTACCAGCCAACGACTACTGGCGGTGTGTTTCATTCTAATTTTCTAGTAATATCCTTACTCTAACGGCAATTCATTTTATGAACCAAAGGAGTGATGCTGCGCCGGTAGGAGGTATGAGTCCTTTGTCATTCGAAATGACGAACGGATAACTCTCGAATTTTCAGCATAGAACCCTCCGCAGTGGCCAATTCACATTATCAAGTCAGTTGATAAACCAAATAACTGTATTCTACGGATCATTCCGTCCCGCTGATGCAACCTTGACGCAGCCGTGTAGACCGGCCCCCAGACGGGGTTTGACNNNCGACCATTTTGTTTATATTTTACGCAGTATAAATAACTAACTTTCAAAGGCAAATTAAACAAACTTTGCCATGATTGGACGTAAAACATCGAGAGTATAGCAAGTAGTTCCTGCATAATTTATCATCGAAAAGACTAATAAATAATTTAGCTTGGCTTTGACGTTTGCATTGTCCTTATTCATAGAATCTTCTTCCTTCTAAGCTTGTTTTTTGTTTCTGAGAGGACTCTGACTAAAAGAGTTTTATCAGTTAGTATATGAAAATTTTCCACCTTAAAAAGCAAGGCTCCCAAAATTGAAACTTCACGGTTTCCTAACATCACGACGTTGAATTGATAACTACTGCCAAGTCTGGCGATATAGACTTGTTTTCTGACTGACCGCAAATAAATTGCCTTGGAAAAGTTTGTTTACGTGTTATTCGTACAGGTGAATGATGTGCTAAAGTTAAGCTACGTGACAAGATGGAATACAAGGTCCAACATCACAGAAGCTATCTTCTTATGGCAATTATCTTTATTTGCCTGGGATCGGCCTTAACTCGAGGTACATTGCTGCGCTTCCATGTAATTTGCGTATTTTTTTCCCGAAAATCACCTGCTAAAAATAGATTAGATCTGGCTTTTGATTATCTCAGTGTTTGTCCTCGTACGTGTTCCAAAATTTTCTTTCCAGATCTGACTCGTCAAAAACTAGTACTAATACGAATTCCTCAATGATTTACGACTCAAGAGGCTTATATGATGGGTTATTTAAATTTCAATGCATCGACTGACACATCGGTTGATTGATTGAATGACTGATCCATTGATTGATTGATTTGAGAAATTAATCCTGCTTAACACAAATTTTATTTCCCAGGAACTAGGCGAAGGTCCACAGCGGAGGTCATGGACTTCAAGGCAAAGCAGTTTTCCTACTTGAACATCACAGTGATCACGTCTGTGTTTGTCCCTGATGGCATCGAGTGTGGGTTTGCCTGTTTAAAAACGATTTCGTGTTTTTCTTATAACCTAAATGCATTTCCCGATGTCAACGGAAAACTGCTGTGTGAGCTGCTTCCATCTGACATGTATAACAACTCGGATACATTCATTACAAGCCCAATTTTTCACCACTTCAGCATTTGGGTAAGTATAAATTGCATTACTTTTGACACAAGGTTGTATTTACAAAAGTAAAGGTCTGTAGTCTGTCCTCACAGGCGATAGTGGAACCAGCTTGAAAGAATTTTCTAATTTTCCTTTTCCTTTTCCTTTTCCTTTTCCTTTTCCTTTTCCTTTTCCTTTTCCTTTTCCTTTTCCTTTTCCTTTTCCTTTTCCTTTTCCTTTTCTCCTTTTCTCCTTTTCTCCTTTTTTCCTTTTTTCCTTTTCCTTTTCCTTTTTTCCTTTTCCTATCAGCATCAGGGAGTATGCGTTTCACGAGCTTGTTCTTCTGAATCATTATTTAACGCTATTGTAACCATAGTTAGTAGAGGGGGACCTCCACTATGTTCTAACGAATATTGTGCTTGTCACAACGATCACGCACGCGTTATCAGAGGTCGAGCTCTCACTATTCCGTGCAGGGGGAGACTGTTCTCATGTGATAAGAGGGGCGGTCAGTGAAAGAGTTTAGTTATGAAGATATCGTATCATCGATTTTTCTCGTCTCAACAGAGTCCTTGCTCAAGCAATCCTTGCAAGAACAATGCTACCTGTGTGGCCAATTACAAAGATGATGATTATCAGTGCGCATGCTCACCAGGTTATACGGGAGAACACTGCGAAATAGGTATCCTGAAATTGCTGTTTCTTTTCCAAGTGCAGATTTAGAGAATTGTTTTGTATGATTTTACAAGAAATAAAGCCTTACAATGATTTAACTGATTCTCGTACCCAGTCCTTCCGTGTGATTGAAATGTTACGACCACTTGAATGTGGAAGGTCTGGGCACGAGACTGAGTTTAAATCGCCAGGGAGGTAACTGTAAGTAAGTCTTGAATTGATTAAGGGTTTTCCTCTGAAACGGAACCTGTACTTAGATTTTTTTTCATCTTAACCTATGGGTTGTCTATCTTATCAGAACGTAACTTTTGAAATAAAAAAGGGGGTTCCCCGTGCTCGTTTACAGGAGCAGCAGCACCTTGTAGATAACANGTATTTCGATTTATTTCACTCTGTGATTGGTCCAGAAAACTCGCGCCACTTTCTGAACCAAACAGATTAATGACTAAAACCAATCACGACTTGGAATATCTATCAATAATTGGAAAGCAAGATTTTTCGCTCACCAGAAAATATATTTTTCCATTTCTTTACAGGTTTTTTTTTCCAAGATGTATTTGCTTAGCCGGATGGTTCCCACAGCATTGATAGTGTGTGGCAGGCGAGCTTCAATATGTTCGTGGCCACCAAGTATTGGTGTTACAGGATAATTACGGCTAACTGTGGAGTGCCTACTGCCATATTGTGTGGAATCTACTTTGCATGTCTCAGTTTTGATTACGTCTGGTGCATCATGCCCTGTTTGCGCGCTTACGTCTTTGAGCTGCAGTGCCTTGGGAAGCTGTTTAGCCTGTGTGTGCGCTCTTTCTTCGACCCGTTTTTCGAGTCTGTGGGAAGGATTTTTGGTGGAATGAGGATTTCTCATTCGAGAGAAGACAACAAACCCTTTTCGGGCTGATAACATTAGTCTTGTCATACAAATGTTACACATTGAGTTGTTTCGATGTTCGTAAAGTGCGGAGAAAAGTACTACAAACACATGAAACTAAACTAAAGATCGCGGAGCTCCGTCACATTTTCTATTCAATTGATGTTTTAAGCGGTATTTTACTCGTTATCATACCATCCATATATTTCAACTAACCATACTATATTAGATTATATACCGTATTTACAGTGATTAAGGCTCAATTCGACTATCCACTCGGAAATTTACAAAGTTTGCTCACCCCCTCTGTGCAGGACCGAACATTACAAGAAGAGCTCATCGTGAGCGTAGTGCGTAGATTGTAAATCTTCCTGGCTCTTTAGTTTTCAATTTCGAACCTTTGTCTTATTGAACATACGTCTTTGAAACATAATTTTATACACTTTTATACGTATACTTTTATCTACTTTTTGATATATTTTGATATATTTTGATATATTTTGATATAATTTTTATATACTTTTTAGAGACACTTTTATGTATCTTACGGTTAAAGATCTCAACGTAATTCAATTTATGGCTTTTATGTCAGTTTAAGCTTATAAATAATTTACCTTTATTATATAGATACTGATGAAATACCAGGATTTCTCCTTTTACTAAAAAATCATATCTTCACCCCGCGCAGTGAAGATACTTTTTTTATCTTTCACGTGTGAGGATATTGGCGTGGCCATAGTTACCAACATAATTACCCAATTGCTGTTTCGAAAATGAATAAAAAA